AACTGACGGATTTGCTACACAATTTTCTCGATTTCCCTAATGGTTAAAAATAATCAAAGAGCAATGGTTGTCGCGCTGCGTCCTGTTCGATACGACACTCTTAGCGACGTACCGCGTGTAACATACGTTGTTTGTTTACACAAATTTTGAACACGCGCCGCGCGACGACCACCGCGCCCTTTAACTAATATAGGAATAGCGTAGGACCACACAAAGGTGCACATCCCTCAATACAAACCACTGTACAACTCGATGACTATTACATGGGGGCACGTACTAATTCAAGTAATTACATGGCATCCACGGCAGAATGCCAATAACACGGTGCTTTAATTTACCTGGTCGGGGGCAACGCCAACGAAAATTCAGTTACGCGTTATATCTCTAATCTCGATCCACCTACCACGTAAAATCGTCCCATGCATTTTTCTAAAGTTTCCATGGTTTCTTAACAATACCATTTCAATTTATAATACGCGAGAAAGGATAGGTTTCTTTGTGCATAGTTTATTTACACTTTATTGCCTGCCCAATGACCCCAACCCCTTATAATCCCCTTTTTCAATATGAATTTAAATGTATTTTGAAGATTTGAAAGAACCCAGGGGGCACGAAGGAAAAAATTACCGACAAATTAAATTTGTGTTTAGCATGCCTGTTTGAGGTTAACACAATTCACAATTAAAAGTAGTGGCGGGTCATACAATTCCGGCTCTGTTACATAAGCTTTTGTGATGTAACTTTTAATATCTAAGAATTATATATTCTGTGAAATGTACGCTAGTAATTTGTCGAGCTGAATTACCACGGCTTCTATTCAACGAATATTTTTCAGAAAATCTTTCAGATTGATGAAATGACCACAAATGTGATATCTTCACATAATAGTATTTCAGGTGCCGTCACGAGAGATAATTTCAATATATTGTCCGTATAAGAAGTACATTGTTCGCTGACCTGAATATGTTGTACTTGGCGTTTCACTTCAATTGGTCCATAACTGTCTCTGTACAATGCACTCGGTTTAACCATTGTTAACTGGGAGTAGGAGATGGGCGTCTCATTGAACACATCCAATTATATTCTACACTTCCATTCAGACAAATGAAAGCTGTCTGTATTGTATTCAACACCGTTAAATCCGTGTAGTAGTCAGTCACATATTTTACGCTATCTAACTACCATTTAGATTCATGCAAAGCTCAGTTGTGGCACCAATCAATGGCGTATGACGTGTCGGAATAACAGTTGGTCATTGTACTTGTACGTGCTCGAAATTTCAACGATACCATTTCTGCGGTAACATATATTTGCTTCGATAAATTTCGTACAGCGTTCCACGTCGTTGACCTCTGACATAATGGGAATGCATTTTTTTTAAAAAGAAAATTTCTGTTTCTGCATCGACCTATTAGCTACAAACTACATGATTATAATTAATTTTTAAACGTGTGTTATCGCCATGGTGACGGTTCAAGCATACAACTCGCGGTCATTGATGTATATACTACGTGTCACTATTGTTCCTATCACTTACGAACTTACGAAAACACTTTAAGTACTATCGCCTCCCACCACAAGAGGTGACACCAGGACGATTAGTGTCCCATTCTCTGCGTGCAATAATTCGAGTGGCTTTTAGCGTTGTACCCGATAGCGTGACTGCCTCCTTGTCGTTCTTAGACACAGTTCTCTGGAATGATGACGTAATGGATTCCACGGGACCCGATTGTTGTAGATTGATTGTACACCAGGGGATACACGTTCAAGACATAGCAGGTTATACGCGTACAAGTGCCAACGTGATTTCACATTGCCCACGCTGTCAATTGCCAATAACATCCATAGTTTTAGTTTATATATGTTAATGTACATTATCTAATCACACACTTGTATTTATATGCCGACTACTGAATGACATGCATTTCTGAATTTAAACTGCTTGGCTCGATTTCAAGATTTGGAATTTAAAAAAAAAAAGAATGCGAACTCTTTCACAACTGTTCAAAAGATCAGCCAAGCTTGGGTCGAAAAATTAAAGTCGGTATCTATGCGCCTGCATACTGACTGGTTGGCAAGAATCGGTCGTTCACACTGAAAATAAAAGAACAGTGTTTTTATTGCTGTATATTTCCATGTTAATAAAACAACTTATTGGCATCGTTGTCACATCGGAACGCGAGATAGTCACGGTGATAATCAGTGAGCGATATTAACGTACTAGACATTTGCATGCTGGTTACGTGGCAAAAATGAAAAGAATTACGGCGTGCTATAATCTCTACATTTACACTATTAAGGATTGTTTTGAAAAAAAAAACTATTACAAATGTAGACGTTTGAAGACCAACACCACGTGATACGCATTGATTGTGTTATTTAAGGTAGAAGCCTACTCATAAATTCAAATACCCAGAATTTATTATTTGTTAATAAATTGTAGTTCCGGGAAATATAAGAATATTGACCTAAATGAAGTTGGGGGTCATCAGCTTAATTGTTGAGAAAATGATGGTTATATTTTAGTGGATAGTGGCCAATTTGTTAGTATAGTAACAATTTTACCATAGGTTTCTATGGCAGAGATATTATGCCTTATCTCTTTAGCCACGTTGCTTTGGACATATTTTTGGATGAGAAATATGACTATAGGAAATTGCAATACAGTAATCAGATTTAAATGACACAGAACATGCTTGACAGACATCCGTTGTCAGGGACTAGGGAATGCAACTAACGTGATCAATATGTCAATATATGAGCCTGGTTCCTGAACGTGTGCTGGACATGAAATTTTACCCCGGCGTTATGATGTGTAGAATAACCAAGCAAGAACGAGTGTCAAATATAATATAGTCTACGGGCAACGAGGTGTGTAGTAAAGTTAACATCGACAAATTAGAAATAACGACCACTACGAAACGGTTACACCGCGAACGTTGCAGGATTATTGTGTATTTTTTTTGTTTGTCAAATATTACAAAGGCTGTTCCATTGTTTGGAATATATGTTGTCACATCTAGAATAGGAAGGTTTTTTGCAACACTGCACTGCACCGCACCACACCACACCGCACCGCACCTCACTGCACCGCACCGAACCACACCACACCATACCGCACCGCACCGCACCACACTGCACTGCACCACACCGCACCTCACTGCACTACATAACACTACATTACACCAATTTTGCTTATTTCGCTGACTGAAAAATGCGGTAAATTAAAACCCAGTAAATATGTAAAATTAGGCATAGAACACATTATTTTAATGATAAAACCACTGAATATGACTGAAATGCTAAATCAGTGAAATTTAAACCCAGTGAAAATTAGTCTTTTTGCAGTATTACGATCAAAACGGAGAGACAGTTTAGTTTTTTTCGAGTGAAGCCATTCAAAGTTACCATCGTTTGACTTCCTTTGGATTCCCAATAGCTATTTCCTCAAATACACCTTTAAGAACGTATGCGATAAATTGTCACGGAAATCAGTGCTCGTACCGATGTTTATCAAAAACAAGAACAGGCCGATGACGAGGAAGAAAGTCTCTACGTATGTTAGTCATGCGGTTGGAAATTTAGGAAACGCTTTACTGTTGATATTGCTGCAATCTTACTGTTGATATTTCCCCTTAAATTGACTGTACTCAAGTGCTATATTACTGAATACTGAATTGTATTATTTTGGTATTCACGCGACAATATTTTAGTGTAATCAGAAGCATATGGTGATTTCAGGAATAATTTCATCGCTGCTATTACAGGATTGTTACACTGCGGCAGACATACACAGGTACACTTTTCCCCCTTAACTGTAATGATTGGACTAATTGTTGTGGCTTATCAACAATGTCATCCATGTCAAGTTAAGCAACCATTTATTGCCCATATATCGTCACGTAAAATGGAAAGCGCAGCGGATAATTTATGGCTAAATAGCATTTTTGCTGACGCCCAATAGGCAGTGAACTGAAATACTGCATAACGTTAATTACGGACCACCTGTGGTACATACAGGAGGCATTGAAGAGATATGACACACATAATAGATGGCTACATTGATTTCTGTAGAAATCCACATTTTTTGATCAAAGCTTGGGTAATTGTTTCTCTGCAGCTATATTTTTGTTCGTATTGTTTTCCATAAACGTTCATGTGGTGGTCTATAATGAGAGCGCCATCTATAGTATGGTATTGGAATGACTTTGTTTATGAATAAGTCTGTGCTTTCCTGTGGTGGTCAGCATGAAGATTTTGTGTGTAATGGTCGAATTGTTTTTGTCGGTGTGGGCAGG